TCAGTGTTTAACTCCAGGCTCCATATACAGTGCTAAGCAGTTCTCCCACTTTAGTCAAAACAATTCCTCTCCAGGCCCCAAACTCAAGGACACCTCACTGTCTTAGGCCCCAAGATATGTAAACAACAGAGAATTGGGGGGAGCAAATTTGGAGCAAATGACTTCATTGGCTGAAGCTGTAATTAGAGAATTAACCACCAATATGCAAATGGACAAATCTTGTAAAGCATGAACAACTTGTGACTGATTGTCCACTTTTGGGTGTAGCCCCTACGTGGGCTGTGACTRCCCTAAATGYACCTGAAGGCCCTTGAATGAATATAACTGCTTTGTATTCTCTTAATTTAGTCCTGTCTCTGAGGTAAACCAGATAAGGCATCATCACCTCTGGTCATTTTACAAGCAGCAGTGGAAACAAAATGGAGCCAGTTTYGTAATCAAGAGCTACTCAACTTAGGTGCTCCTTTCACACAGCACAAAGTAAACTATGTTGAGTTAAAGGCTGGAAGACAGAACCAGGGACAATTTTCCTTCTGAAAGCTGTTCACTTTTCTGTCTTGAATAAACAAGACCGAGTCAGAGAGAGTTCTTTGCCCTGCATGGTTCAAGCTGTGGGCTTGAGTTCGAAGCACCTGCTTAATTCATGTACCCACCCAGCCCTCTTACTGTTAAACCTTCCCAGTAAGASCCTTGCTATGTGAAAAGTGTGTGTCTCCTTGAAAAACCATTAGGCAATTACATTGCAAAGTCATGAAAAAGTACTTCCTCTAAAACCTGAAGAAATCAGACACCTGCATGTGCAATGCAGTCTTAAAAGCAGAATGACAGGATTACAAGGTCAATGGTTTTCCTTTTGACAGATGTTATCTGGGCAGGATTCTGGCTCCTAGAGAGTTCAGAAGAAGGAAARAGACAAAAAGGAAACAAAACAAAAGAAAAAAAAATACAATAGGCAGCAAAGACCAACCAACTGAAAAAAAGAATCTTAAAYAAAATAAACAAGACTTCAATTGAGAGATGAGAAGGATAGGGTGGCAACATTTAGTTATCCCTTTAAAGAGGAATATAATGTTACTCTGCCCCTGGGGTTTGGCTGCACCACTAGTCATTCCATGGGATGTTTGGATCCCCCTAACTTTTCCTKCACTCTTCAAAGATGTGTTAAAAAYACATTTTTTATACAAATYCAATWGAGAAAATGGGAATTTATTCTGCATGTTAAGAGCAAGGAACTGCTTGCATTCTTGTCCACCAGAAGAAAACGGCATACAACAAGGACAAAACCTATTCAATACTTGTACATAAAGCAGATCAATCTTGTGTGGAGCCTTCAGACACCATAATGATGAAATAAGAACAAATTCTGGATASCAGTTATTATTCCCATATGGTTACTGAGCAATTTATTACTAGACATCTGACATTGTCTCCCACAACTGAATCTCACTTCTATTACCACTTCATTTATCATTCACTTCACTGACTGTTACATCCCATGTAAAAGTTTTAGCTCCTGGAGAAAAACTAATTTAATAAGTGTAAAATGCCCCCCAGACTCCCCTGATGTCCTACTCATACAATTCCATTCCTATTGGGTTGATCCTTCAAGAATCAGGCAATAGTTAACACAGGTATCTGTCAAGACTCAAGGGGGATCAAAGTCACTGCRCCAAAGAGAAAATCTGAGCAAAGAATGGAGGCAAAATTACCAGATTTAGCTAGATGTTTTTTGCAGAAATAGTTGGTGGYCATCTCTAACACAGAGTTCAGAGGAGGCCACCAAGTTGATTGGAGGAATGGAGTACCTCTCCTGGGAGGAAAGGCTGGGAGAATTAGAGATGTTCAGCCTGGAAAGGAAAAGAAATTGGGGTGATGGAGTTGCAGCCTTCARGTACCTGAAGGGAGTCTGCAGGAAAGCTGGAGAGAGACAAGACCATGCTGGAGAGAGACAGGACAAGGGGGAAAGTCTTAAAACTGACAGAGAGCAGGTTTAGATCAGAGATTAGGAAGGAATTCCTTACTGTGAGGGTGGAGAGGCACTGGCACAGGTTTCCCAGAAAAGCTGTGGCTGCCYCATCCCTGGATGKGCCCAAGGCCGGGCTGGATGGGGATCTGAGCAACCTGGTCAGGGGTTGGGAMAAAATCATCTTTAAGTTCCCCTCCAACCCAGCCATTCTATGATTCTATGAAATGATGACATAGGAAGTGCTACTATAAACACTGCACAAAGTATAAAATCTCCACCTGTGAAGAAATACTCTGGGAACAAGGCTTGTATGTGATTATCAATATTAACGTAGTTCAGGAGTGTGAGCTGGACACCAGCAGGACCACAGCACACATGTTGAATATCTAACTTTTCTACCTATGAAGTATTCTTTATTTTCTTTCCTACTTTTCTCTGCCCTTGATCAATCTCTGATTCAGCAGGCCATTCTGTATCAGTGAATATTTGAAATCTCTTTTAAAATCAGCAACCAAATGCTAATACATATGCTTATATATAGATGTATCTATCTCTGTATAGGTGTGTGCAAACACACACACAACATTCACACGGCTGCAGAGGATGCAACCCTGACTGAATTCCTTCAAACTGTTGGGATATAACACTATTTTCCCCACCAGATGGCAGTAATTTCAACTTAATATAAGCCGGACTGGTCACCACATGCACAGAAAACAATAGCATACTCTACRTTTGGGATTTTCCTTAAGAGCGAATGCTGGTCTTTTACATATGTAGAGTTATTCAAGTTTCCTTCCATTTAATGAAAAAATGTTCTACTAATAGCTAAGCTCAACTTTGATCAGTGTATCCTACAAGGTTTTGTTTGTTTTTTTAAACATATCATTCCATATTAWTTTTTTTTTTCAGTACACTGCAATTTTGTCCAATTTAAGAAGTACAGGTATTATTTCCAGTCATTGTGYTTTCCCAAACAGAAATAACTGGATAACTTTCAACTGTGTAATAAAAGAACTTTTACAATATACTACTGATAAAAAAGACCAAAGGACTCTGAAGAAGTAGGGGAAATGGTAAATACTTTCTGCATAATTGTTTGATAAAAGYATTCAGTGTGCAGATTTCTTGATTTATAAAAGCCCAGGGTAACATCTACAGCAAAAATATTGCAGCCAGCACAAACTATATTACACACAGGCTAAATTGCTTTTAAAGTGGGAGCTGACAATTTCTTCTACTGGTGAAAGCAGGGAAGTTTTTGTCAACATAGTCCAGGCACTGTAAAAATAATTATTTTATTATGTAATCTGGTGTGTGGATACTGCTCAGTAGGATACCTACCTCTAGGAGCAACAYATCCATAGATTCTAACCAAGATATCATTGTTGCCTTTTTATTTTTTAAACTTGTTGTTTGAAATAAATTTTCCAGAAGAAAATTATATGACAAAAAGAGAATTTCTTCCTCCCCATTCTACTAATATTAGTATTCACTGTGATTAAATGGGTTTATATTCAGCTCTATTCTATGCAAAGATAATAGCAAAAGTGCACATTCTAATTAATAAAACACACTCATCTTCCAATAAATTTATAACCAAATATGCAGTCTGTTTGGACAGCTGGCTTCACCATCCGACAAGCAGAGATTCAGATCCCTTGTTTCTCTTTCCATGTTTTTTTGTTCAGCAGAAGGTAGAGCWAAATTTTCTCTAGATACACAAAACAAATAACTACAGTAATGGAAAGAAAAGATCATAGACACAAAGCAAGAAGTGAWATGACTGTATTCTACTAATTAAGCATTAAGTAGCTGGTCACACTTGTCTTTCACACTCATAGGTAATATTCCTGAATATTTCTATTTYAACATCAAAATGCAAATCCCATTTACATGGTTGTATACTGGATGAGCAGTATCCTAACTCAGTGACGTTTGAACTGAAGAGGTTCTCAATATATATTTTAATTCAAAAGACCTGTTCATAAACTTTTCATTGTGACTTGATATTCTGCTGAGATTACATATTTACATCAGCTGGAAGTATGAGCAGAATCCATCATAAAAATAAAGATTCTTATATAATTTCCTTTTCCTGAAGGAAGAGGAAAAATAAAGGTATCGAGCAATTTTTAGTATGAACCTAACCAAAAGGATTTGAAGTGGAGAATGAAAATCTTTGTCAATAATCATGAGCTCAAAATCCATCCTGGGCTTGGAAGGAGAAACTGAGTGAGTCATTGTTGAAGGGGACAGAATAAACACAGRGTAAACACAGCCATTCACATTCAACTTAAAGTCCCAACACAAAATGTTTAGCACAGCCCTGTGATGTTCAAAGGGCTGGTGAAGARGCAACAGACAACTGGCTTTTACCTCCAGCTGCAGGATCAGTAATAATCCTACAGTTACATTTAGAGGATTCTGTGCATTTTGAAAAGGATATGGGAAAAACAGAGATGGAGGAAGAGACACCATTACTGAATACTGGAGAACACATGCTACAGTCAAAGTCTTAAGAGGTCTCAGATCTATTTTGGCTGACTTGAACAAATATCTAGCAGTCATTACAGGAAAACAAATACCACCTATAAGTGCCAGCAGAAAACAATGGAACAATGGCTCAAAGCTGAATTTGGTAAAATTTAAATTGGGTAAGAGGCATGAATTTTGATACTTTGTTTTATGAAAAATCACTCTTGTTATGAAGATAAATAGTGGATTAAATAAAAATAATTTCCTGTATGAAAGACAAAATGCAGGGGAATAACAGCACAAAATGTAAAAACCTGAGATTTTAAATGATGTGTTCCAATGGCCCATTCTGATTTGAAACCCAGTCCTGTGCTGTGAAGAGAAGCACCATGACTGAGCTCCTTGGGAGCCCCATGAAAGCCCCAGAGGGGTTGTCCCCTCAGTGTCCTGGAAAGGCACCGTGGGATGGAGAGCAGCCACGCTCCTCACAGCTCCATRTGCCAGCGCTGCTCATGTGACAGGGACACAAACCCTGGGCAGYGCTCTCAGGGCTTACCTGCAGCTCGTGGAGCAGCAAACACAGTCCTGCTGTCAGATGGAATGGCAGCTGCACACCTGGAAGAGACACAGCACATCAGAACAGGGATGCAGCACTCATGCAATGAACTACCAGAGTTCCACCTGCTATTTCAAAAGGAAACCTGTTCCAAAGAATGACACAGTGGTATGTTCCGTAATTTCACAATATAAAGACAAAAAAAGAGGAAGGTTTTGTTTTTTTTTTTACAAGACTTGATGTAATTCAACAGGTCAGCAAATTTAAGGGAATTGTCATGTAACAGCAGCTGCAACAACAAAATAAGGTGGTACAACATCTTCTGTCTTGCAGGCCCCACAACCTTGCAGCACATCTCAGACTGGGGAYACTCTCTTGCTGCACGCACATTTAGTTGTTTGCTGAGCTTTGCATGCAAATAAATTCATAATTCTGTACTTTCATAAAGTGCCAACTAACTCAATTTCTGAGACCGAATTTTAGCACCAGAAAATTCTTTCTTCTCTTTATAGATTGTTAGAAAACATGTAGTTTGAATTTTTGCACAAAGCCTATATTTTTTCTTATTCATGSTAACATCTTCACAGCAAACACAAAGTTGTGGTTAGCAGAATATGTAGGGAAAGTATTAATCTACAATCATGTCTAATACAATAAATGCAATACYAAGGGGAAACACATGTAGCAGAAGCACAGTGCTGACAAAAGGTATTCAGCCTACACAGTAAGAAACCTTCTGAGCTGTTTGTTATCAACAGATAATATTTAGTCCTTCCTTTCATTAATATGGAGTTTTTCAAGAAATGGGATAAGTTTGCAAACTGTTGTTGCACTCAGAGAAAACACAGGGTTTTTAAATGAGGAACCCTTCAGTTTCTGAGAGCTCCATTAGTATTAATTACAAGTTTAAAGAAGCACCACAACATATTCACACTGATAGTATAGGCATAACTACAGCATAATTACTGTCACTTCACTAAGTGCAGTCATGCATACACATCCCCTTCTAGGATCAAAGTGGGGCATATCCAGTCCAAGCTCCCGATATCAGAGGCAACCGTGTTTCCACTCCCTTTTATAAATGTGTCATTTTCTACCTTGCAAACTGTCAGACGTGTGTGGAAAAACAAAACCTGACCACCTTATTGGGAATCTCCTCCAGAACACCACTSTGTTGATTGCTAGAAATCTTCCAACTTCCAGTCTGGTTTTCTGCCAATTGTTTCTGTCCTGGCATTGTTCTTTGGATTAAATGATTTCTCTCTTTCCCTCACAATTGTCCTCTCTTCGCAGTGCACCTTTTCTCTTGGCATTTTTTTTATTGAAGAGAAATAAAGCTTTCAGTATCCTCACAATAACCTTGCCCTTCCCAATATTTGTTTTATTATTTCCATTTCTCTGCTACACCTAAATCCACACTTCCTACACCTGGGCACTCCAAATCCTTGGCAACATTCCTGGGACTTTGCAGCAGTGACTCACATGGAAGAATTAATAATTTTATTTCATTACCTGAAAAGTCTAACTTGAAATTATTTTAAATGGTATAAACCTTGCTCATGGACGCATCAGATCACTGGGAATGCAGTTATGTGGATGAAATTCCTCTTACCTAGTTTTAAGCAGCATCTCACTGCAGGTCCTTTCGAATCAGAGACACTTCACAGCATGATTCATCTGAGCTATTTTGGGAGATTCTGACTGGATGAAATCTGTTGTGCCCTAGAAATACTCTCCACTGACCATGCCTAAACAAATATCTCAGTTGGAGAGAGCTAGACTGAATCAACTGAAGATCTTATTTTGTGGTTTATTAATATAATCAGCTCCTTCATTTCCTTTTAAAAATCTTGAGATAGCAGATAATAGCAGAAGCAATCATAACCATGCACATAACCAAGTTTTCAGACTTCATCCTGTTTCTATTACAGTCTCTCAGTTGTGAGTTTTTCTCTGGATTATTCATTGATGGTACTTTTGAATGGCATATTGAAAATGGCTCTTCTAGTACACCTTTAAAACCCACAGTAACTACAGGTAGCAAAATTTTCCCTCAGAAATCAAGTGCTTATGCAATGATTTAACAGAATTACAGTCTGACAATTGATATTCTAGACTATCACATGAGAGCGAGGAACAGGTATTTTAAAATATGCTGAATTTTGATCAATCATAAATAAAAGGATGTCAACTTGGGGAAGTAAGCAGGATGCTTTTTGTCATCTCTATCAAACATCGTTTACTAGAACTGCTAAGCAAAAAGCTTTAAAAATTTGAATAGTCCAGGATAAACATTATTTTTTTTTAAAGTACTAAAAAACCTTCACAAGTATATCATCATCTTCTCCAATGGAATAATTACAGATTTTTTCTGCACAAAGAATGGATTAAAATCAGAGGGAATTTGATACTTTCCCTCACCTCCAGAGATGAATCAAGGTAGTTACTTTACTATATGATCTCACAATGGACTAATATTTAAAAATTAACTACTGAATCTTAAGAATTTACCTGAAATCCTCCAAATATAAGCTATAAAACAGAAAAAA